GGTGGATGCAGAAACAGGTTTAACTGCATTAGTTCTTTCATCTGGAAGTGAGGGTCCATCATAACTTAATCCGCTTCTCGTGATAACCGCCTTACAGTACTCCTTTCCCTCACGATCTCGCTTCGGATTTTCTGTGTGTCCAGGCAATGTACTTTGGGGTCTAGATTTTTGATCATTAGCTATCTGCCCCACTTGCATCTCCAAGCTTCTTACCGCATCATCAGTTCTTGTCATGAACTCTTTCATCATGGCCTCCAAACTTGTCTTGCTACCACTTTGCTGAGTAGTATTTTGACCTCTTTTCTGATTGTATTGTTGAGGTTGCGACGCCGGTTGAGTTGGAAAACCAGGAGGAGTGTAGTTTTACTTGTATTGTTGAGCAGGTGTTTGTGCACTACTACTAGCTACTCCTTGGTTACTCYAGGAAAAGTTTGGATGGTGCCTCCATCCAGGGTTGTAAGTGTTTGAATACGGGTTGAAATTCCGCTGGGCACCTTGACATACATAGAAAATAGACGCTGGATTAGCTGGACAGTTCTCATACAAGTGGTTATCTCCACAATAGACACAAGATATATATSAAATTTATAAAACAGGAGAGGGTTCAGGTATCGCCGAAATTGTGGTTTTGGTTTCCTTCTCCATTGTCAATTGCTTTAACATTTGGTTCATAGCCGCCATTTGGGCTTACATTGAAGCTACTGTGTCYAACTCAAAGACTTCGGCTGATACTTGCTTCTTTGGTAATGACCTTCTTATTTCACCTTGGTCATTAATGTCTGTCATCTTATTCAAGATATCAACGATCTCATTTATCGACTTCTCTAACAACGAGCAATTGGCTGCGGTGTTCAACATAATCCTTGATGAACGATCCAATCCTCTATAGAATTCTTCAATCTGCACACATGAGGGCAATCCATGGCTCGGGCATCTTCTAAGTAACTCCTTAAAACGCTCCCAAGCTTTTTGAACTACTTCGTTCTTCTTCTGTCTAAAAGACACAATGTCCTCTCTAAGGTCTGCGTTCCTGGTCAAAGTGTGGTACTTTGCCAAAATTTCTCTATCAGTTCCGCCCATGTGTTGATAGATTTTGTTCTAACACRTTTAGCCAAGTCCTTGCACCATCCCTGAGAGAAAAAGGAAACATTTTTAATCTTAGTGCATCCTCAGAGACACCAGAAAGTTGAAATGCATTAGCTATTTCAATAAAGGATTTGAAATGGGAGTAAGGATCTTCGTTAGTCAATCCTCCGAACTGGACCATCGTCTGTAACATCTGGAACATGACTAGCTTGAGCTCGAACTGTGCGGCTTGGGGTAAAGGATTATTTATCCCTGAATTTAGGTTTTGGAACGCATGAGTGACATAATTCTGCATGGCTACATCTCGATTATCTCCTAGAAATATCAGATTAGGAATTTCTCCTGCTCGGTTTGTTGCTCCTTCACCTGCAATATCTCCATTCACAGGTAGATTTTGTGGCGGTGGAGGATCTTGTGGATTTCTATTCATCTTGATGGTCTCTTCTTCTTCAACTTCTTTCTCTTTTTTACTTTCTTTCTCTTTTCTCAACCTCTGCTCAYRCCTTCTCCTCTTAAGGGTTCTTTCAAACTCTGGATCAAAGGTCAACCAACCAGACCTTGTGCTCATACACAACTCCCATAAAGRTTAGATATAACAATTAAGTCCGATGACAGAGGTATGCAACAATCACACACAATGAAACAATTCACTTGAAAAGAATATGATTTGAAAACTTAAGTCTCCGGCAACGGCGCCAAAAACTTGTTAGGATTTTCTCTACCTTTAAAAAGATTAGAGACTCGTGCAAGCCCACACGATCACAAGTAATACTCGGAAGTAATCCAAGGTCGAATCCTCAGGGACTTGTTGCTTTTCAAAATCAAGTAATGCAGTGAAATGGTTCAAATATGCAATTGTGATTTAGGAAGAAAAWWRTGRTGAAATGTWGTYGTTTKGGRTTTTAACTAWCAAGCAATTTAATGAAACTCAACCTCCTTGTCTCCTACCYTAGKTTTGATGCAAAACMTRGAAAACACACTATGTTGGGAAAATGCACCAGGCGCAATTCCTGACTTTTCTTGGGATTTGAGTTCTACTCTTTCACTACCGCTTTTGGTTGTTGCAGAGGCTAGGGTAACCTACAATCATATTCCTATGTGTGATTACAATCGTAGAGAATATCTACCAACTCATTTGTATTATGGGTCAATGGATGGTGAGATTAGAATATTKTCAAACTATGTTTATGATATCCTTATTGCCGGAAATTCCTTGTTTGCCATAAATCGAACTCAAAATTGGGGATGGGTGAAGCTTCTTCTGTGTTTGGAAATAGCGGGTGGCTGTGTTATCCGCCCGGACAACAAGTCAAGGTAAGCTTCCAAAGCTCCCTCCTGCCCGCTGACTGGCCACGTTACTGAGAWCCTAGGAACAGCGGATTTTGAGCCCCTTTCTTATTATTAGTAAGATAGGGCRGGGCTAGCCTATGCCTATGACCATGTTTTATGGCTTATTCCTAAGTTAGTGTATAAATCAAGTTCCCACTGGCCAAATGGAAAAAAGACGTAAACAAAAGTTTTTACATCCATGTTAAAAATTTCTTATTTGCGAATGGGATATTCGTTGGGAAAAATTATCGGTTTTAGAATTAATTTTAATTATTTTATAATTTAAATAATAAAAAAAGTGTAAGAAATACATATTCAATATTTTTAGAATTATTATTTAGTAGTATAAATCATTAGTTTTTTAAAATTTTAATATTTTATTCACAATATAGTAAATATGTAAATAAAAATATATATCATTTATTAAAAAAAAATGGAATAAGGGACAAGGTTGGGCCATACATCTCCTATTCATGGAGCGGGGATCCAACCCTGCGAAAATTTTTGTCATGCCTAATATAGAAACATGAAAATAAAAATTTAGAGAGATGTAAATAAACTTYTGAAAGAGAAATTTTAGAGATAAAAACCAAATTCAAAATATATTTTTAGATAAACTAAATAAATACAAAGAGAAATAAAAGATATAGTGAAAAAAAATTCAATCAGAAAAGAAAATATAGTTTTTAGAGGAAGTGTTAGAAAAAAAAATTAAGAGAAAAAATAAATTACGGAAAAAAAGTTATAAAAGACAAAATTTTTAGAGATAAAACTTTGATAGAAAGAACTATGAGAGTGATCTATTAGAACAAAAAAACAGAAAAACAAAATACATGGATAAATTTGAAGAGAGAGAAATAATAATAAATATTTAAAATACTAAAATTTTAGATAGAGAAAAATAAATTTTTCAGAGAGAAATTCATGCAGAAAACAAATTTAGAGTGGAAAAGAAATTTGTTATAGGTAGAAGAAAAATAAAATTTGAGTATTAGGAGAAAWAATGAGATTTTAAAAAATAGAAATATATTTTTAATTTTTCTTTTCTAATTTACATAAAATTTAAAAATCATTTTTGAAAAACAAAAAATAGATAATTCAACTGATTATCAAATAACTGTTCGAAACTAAAAACCAAAAAATGAAAAACAGAAAACGAAATGGGTCGAGCCTAAGCAATTTGGATTAGAGTGGATTGACGCTTCCAACATATACTTCATCGATTGCCCCGTGGCAGGTAATTTTGGTACCCCCAACGCCTGGAGTAAGCACACAAATACAAACTTAAACAAAACTTTTATTTTTAGTCTTTGGTTTTTCCATTTGAATTTTCAATATATAATTTGTTTTGCAGCATTGTACTCGACGAATCTATATGCAAAAAGTTCTCTTTCCACGAATCTATATTTTAATTTAACTTCAAATGAATTCCACTTTTCCAACTTATATTCACTCAATATAACGTACATCTGTATGGCTAACATTAGATTAATTCAACGGTAATGAGTATTTGTCCAATTCTCTTGTCCAAATAATTGCTCTTTTGTTAGGGTACCATTCACCTCTCTTGTCAAAATTGGTTGTATCAATACATCCAAAACCTATTTATTAATATTTCCAAAGCCTATAAAAAAAAGGTGTGGATTACTATGAAAGTAATCCAGTGGGGGTTTGKTTTCTAAAACTAAAAATATAGATCATTTAAAAAATTTTTTAGTGCAACAAATGGGGTGAGAATTCAAATACCTTTGGATCGGAGATATGTGCCTAAACCAATCAGTCATGTTCAGATTGGCTAAGTAATTTAATTAATACATTACGANAAAAGAGGAGTTCGTTTTATTTTATATTCAAATTAAGCTTCATCAAAATCATTCCAGTAGTATTATTTAGATGAGGTTTCAATTTAAATGTCAAGATCTTAAACTTATAGAAATATGGAAAAATTGTTGATATCATAGACATTTGGAAAAAATAATAAAAAATTAAAGAGATAGATGAACAATTTAGAAATGTTGATTCAGCTGGTTGGAGGCCATTTATGGCATGCCACTTGCTGAGAACATAAAAGCCACAAAAATAATGGAAAGTGATAGAAGTTTAGCTAGCTCAGCTTATACCATCCGAGCCGACTAAACAATGCATGTGAATCGACTCTCATTTTGAGCATTAGATCGAATTGTGACTGATTTGMCYGTCAGAGTGCTAACCTAGTTTTGCAAGTTCTTCGAGAGTGCTTCGGAGGCGTATTCCGATCTTAGTAGATTTCAAGCTTGATCAATTTTCAGATGAAGCACACTTATTATCTATATTACTTGAACCCATTGACATAGAAAAATATCGATAGCAGATAAAAATTTCATACATGGTCGTTTTTGATAAACCGAAAATATGAACAAAACATTTGTTCCTAATGTAATCAAATAGTTTTTAGSCCATGCACAACACATAACTAGGTAGCACAAGTAGAAAAGATTAAAAGACTTCCACACTTATTATTACGCAACAGAAATTGGAACAGATCATGCATTCACAGTCACGTGAACATGCCTTATTTGCATGACATAACAAAACATAATAGATCATTAGATTGTGGCATAATTTTGATGTCCTCCATTGTTGTCGACGACAGAAGGCAGTGCTGCAAACGTTGTATTAACAAACAGCAGCAACTTGAGGTTACCACTTACATATTTTGAACTAATGTTCCACACATCAACTGGATGACCTTTTTCATCATTCAGCGTAACTTTGTCCTTAAACCGTCCATTTCCGCAGTCTGCTCGCTGAACTGCTTCCGACAGATCACTCCAACTATTTTGCAGAGACAGAACTTCTGCATTTGGCTTGTGGTTGTTTGGAACTGCAATCTGAATCATTCTGAATCTCGCAGCCTCAGAAACAACCTGCACGGCCACCACAAGCGCCTTTGCGACGTCGGTTTGAATGTATTTGGTGCCCGTGCAGCCGTACTCGTACAGCGCTGGAAGCAGATGGTTGAGGCTTGTGAGCCCAAGATCAAGACTGCGGCGGTTGGCTCCGTACTTTTCGAAATCTGGGTAACCGCCATCGAATGGAAGGCTTTTTTGCTGCGTTGGATTTTTGAATACGTATTGGGTAGCACGAACAGCAACTGGGTCACTAAAATAGTGGTATGCAGAACAGCTTGGGTTTGGGGTGTAGTACCCGAGAACATAAACGTTTACTAGATCTATAGCGAGGCCAATGGTGATATTGGTACTTGCAATACTGATTTCTATGAAGCGATTTTTATCTATAACATTGGCGCGCAGTAGAGGTATGTTGCACACTTTCTTATTGTCGCGTAAAGCGATTCTGAAAGTATTCAGGGAAGATACATAGGAGTCGATATTGGTTGTTGAGATGGTGATTCTGCGCTGCCCCTTGACAGTATAAGTAGGAGCTGCGAGAAAGATGGCGAGAAATAGCAAACAAAACACAAATAGCTTCCTCATTTTTCAACTTGGATTGGGTTGGGTTGGATGCCTGCCATTAGAACATCTCAAGGCTATACTTTTTATAGCCAACTTTTACAAATATATTGTTTTTTTTTAATATGTTAAGGATAATTGTTTGTGCAACAAATGTGGTCGAGGTGAACCRCTTGAGCGAGCTGGGAAAAACCTGTCCAAGGACACAAATTAAACACTCGAATGCTTAAGTTAGTAAAAAAGTCAATCTTGATATTAAGATCGAGATAGGATCAAATACCTGACTGCAGAGTGGGGGCCTCCTGTGTATAGGTTTGGGTGTCTTACAGCATATCTAACAATCGGTTAGTCGTCTCAGATTTCTGTTGTTCCTGTTGRAGATGGTTGTKCTGGTCGTACGGAGTTTAGGTTCTAGCACACACTCGTTTGATCGAGTAGAGCTAGTTGTTCCCAAGACGGAATACACCACCCCTCAACCCAAARGTTTTAAGCTGATGGATTGGATAAATTTAATTCGTAAATTGGATATGTAACAAAATATAACATTACATAAAAAGTTTCAAAAGGACACTGTAATGTGTGGTCGATGTCTGATATAATAAACTTGTGTATATAAATTATAAACAGTAAATATCTTGAAAGAAGTCCAATTGGGTCAATATTAACCTTAAACYTCAATTTCATAAAATTAAATCCTAATCTTGAATCGGGCGTTGTTATAATACGACGATACTATATTGCAAATATTGTTTCTAATAATTTGTGTTGATGCTTTTTAGTAATTAAATAAATTTTTTGCATTATTGGTTGATAATTAATTAAGTTTTTCAACCTTATTTTTTCCTTGGTTTTGTTGTTAGGTTAATAGTATTTTTGTGATTTAGTTTAGATATTTCTTTGATAATTATTATTTTTTTTGGATCGAATTCTTTGACATGATGTTGAGTGCTTTGTTAATTGAATTATTTATTATTTATTTGGGTGGCTCGCGAAAGTTTTTAAGTGTAATTAATTAAAATGGTTCTTCAAATTTAGAGTTTAAATTGATGAAAAAATACAAATTTAAGGTTAAGCTTAAGTCACCGATTTTAAGTTCAACGTATCAATTGAAGGTATGCCAGAGATCTCAAGTTTTACTTTTAATGGGTGTGTCATGGTAAATGAAGAGGTATATAATATTACTTATATTATTTTGCCCTTATATATTGACTAACTATATTATTTTACTTGTATTGCAAAGTTTTCACAATGTTTATGGTGAATTATTTTCTAGCCTCGGGTTGGATCGAGCTTTCAGAGTGAGCTTAATGAGGAAAGTCCTACACAAAAGAAAAAGACTGAGATCATCCCGCATAATTGTCAGCTGTTAAGTTGGTGGCCAATTAATTAGAGGACTGCCTTAGGTTCGATTTCGCATCACGGCGCATGGCGTTTTCATCAACAAATGGAAATATGATTGAGCTGTCAGGTCATAGTTGGTCGAACTTCAAATGTCAGTCACTTCGTGCTTTTAAGAATACTAGGAAAGATCTAACATACCCAACATTTCCTAACTCTCCATGTAGCCTGGCTTAGTTTATTCTTCTACATTGACCCCTTCTCTCGTGAATTAGAAGTTGAAGAGATGATATGACAGTTGGTAGAGCAACTCGAGGTTTCATATTGTTTGCCATGGTTAAATGAAAACAAGTTGTTGCTGTTTGATTCGGTCCTTAATCGTTTAAAATTTTAATTTGGTCTTCTAGTTATGGAATGTTTAATTTCAATCAAATCCCACTGAATATTTAAAGAAGGATGATATATCAATTTGAAAATTTGTAATTTTTATAAGTCTGTCGATTCTTAATATATTAAGTTGATGAATTTATTATAACAAGGAGCAATTTTGAGTGAAATATATTCTACCGAACAAGTTATTTTATTTCTTTATTTATTTTTAATGGATGAGTATTGTTAAAGATCCCACGTCAAAAAGGTCAGGGGACCTAATAATATTTTAAGATAAATGAACTATCCCTCCTATTGTCGATTGATATTGAAAAGAACTCATGAATGTTTATAAGTATTATGTCTATTTCATCAAATTAAAATATAGAATATTTTCCATTGAAAGAAATTAATTTTGACATAATATGATTATTTTGTCAATTAATATTTACATTTTGTCACAACTACAACTTTAAAAAATTCAGTATATGAAGTATGAATTGAAACTTGTAAAATATGGGAACCAAATTGGAAAAGGAAACCACCTAAATTTAAAGACTTAAAACACATATTTAGCCTGAAAAAATAAGTCAGTGTACAGTACGTGTATCATTTATTTTTTAAAACCTCAAGTTTTCTTTCACAAGTGAGTTAATTTATCATTCTTATTTGTATCTTAAATTAAAGTGTAGTAAAATAGTTTATTTTCAAATTAACCTATACATCTATCTAAATTTTAACTCAAAATGAGTATATATGTAATTGCTATTTGAAAAATTATAATTCTTTCAAAATAACGACATGGATAAGTGATAGGAATGAGATTGTAGTTCCAATGAGTGGTATACATCCACAAATTACAATATCAAATATTTGAAACCCTTCAAATTCAAAATAATTTTTATTTGACAATACCCGTGATAGGGTATGACTTTTTGTGGAAAATTTTCAAAAATTTCAAATATTTGACATTGAAATTTATGGATGTAACTAGCTRAAGTCCTAAAAGATGGTACCCACGAATTGGGACTACATCTCATTCCTATCACAATTATATATATGGAAAATTTTCCAAAATGTTTCAGCAAATATATATATATATATATATATATATATATATATATATATATATATATATATTAACACAGCTCATTTGATCGGCTCTTTATAGATAAATTTGGGATTTCCAATCCCAGATAAGATCGGTTCAGGATCATGGGACCAAAATAAAATATCTTGAAATTTAATTATGCTGAGACAACAAAGAGTTTATAAATGCAAATGATTTTCTAAGAGGCTTTATGTTGGTTCTTTTAATTTCATCTTAAAATGTCTCAAATCAATAAAATTAGTTGTATTTAGCTTATATACTCCTTAGTTATCTTCCTCTTGTAACTTTAGTCATATTTCAAACACTTRATATATGTTCCTTTTTTAAGTTTAGATATTAGGTATTTTTCTTAGAAATTACTAAAAAATAACAATATGCAATAAAGTTATATTAACGTGTCAATCTTATCTTTCCCTCTTTCCCTGTTGAACATTTTTCTACCCACGTGAATATCTTACCCATATCGTAGCCTATCACGTAACGATTGGTTACATCAATGATTCCAAATAACATATGGACAAATTTTGTACCACCAGAAAAAAAATTGTTATAAAAAAATGATTTTCGTTAATTTGATAGGTTGATAAGAATTAAAAAGTAATTTAAAAAAAAAAAAAGAAAACTCACGAAGAATTCTATTAGTTTCATGTAATTAACTTATAGAAAGAAAACAGAAAATTAGGTGGTCGAAGTATTAGATACCTAATATTTTAAATTTTAATATAATTAGTTTGACTGCAAGTGATATCTATATCTTTAGAGTTAAAGATATAATTATGTTTAAGGTTTATTTTCACATTTAATTTTATTTAAAATAATTCTTAATTTAAGTTAATAAAGTGATTAAAATTCATTTATATGTACTTAATTCAATATATTTTTAATTTCTTGAACAACAATAATATCTATCATATATTTTCCTCTTTTGTAAAATATTCTAAAGATTTATTCCATTTTTATCTACACTAATTGTCTATTTTTCCTAAATAAATACTACAATTTTTAAATTCAATTAATAAATTTTAATATTTAAATAACTTGTTTAAAAAATATTACTTTTATTTTTTAAAAGATATAATTTATATGGTTCTTGGTATCCCAAAGCCCTTTTGTAWGTGTTTTGAAATTTATGGAACTAATGTATGTTCAAATATTTATTTAGGTAGAAAATATGAATAGAGAGATACAAGTTACGGATTCAAATAGATGGTGTTTTCTAAATATATAAACATATTATTATTTTTTGTTATTCCTGACAAAAAGCTAGTAAGGGATTCAAATAGATGGTGTTTTCTAAATATATAAACATATTATTATTTTTTGTTATTCCTAACAAAAAGCTAGTAACTAAACTTAAAGAATTGATAAATATATATTAGTGAGTGAAATCTGTTTTAACTTGAATCAATAAATGTCTTGGAATTAATTCAAAAAATGGTTGATCCCTTATAAAAAAAGAAACAAACAAATAATATATGCCGAGAATCTACCAAAGTGAAAATAAATTAATAACGAAGTGAAATTTCTTTAAACGAAAAACTGTGAAGTTAATTATATTGATGGAAAATAAAAAAGAAATCCAAATATATCCCTATCACAATCATTATAATAATTAAAGTAATAGACAAAAGTACTTGTTCGGACCACTTACATAATAGCAAAGGCTGAAGTGAACTTACACGTGAAGAAAAGTTTTATTTGTGAAGTACAACAAAATGTATGGTATGAGTGAAGCTCGTAAAGCCAACAAAATAAATCTCATATATTAGAAGCCGATGAAAAGCAACTATAAGTTATAAACATGCTKCACAACTATAAATGCAGTCAAAAAGTTTAAATATAAAACAAATTAAAAAGACCTATGCTTATGAACAGCATCAACATTATAAACATCTAAATACCTTTCTATCTATATACCTATTTTATATTAATATTAAATATTTAACAGTTGTATTTGGTCCACCMTAAACAAACATAAATGTAAATGAGAGGTAAGATATATCTTGAAATCTATTTTACAATATTCCAACGTTGTTTTTCAAGATTAGCAAGAAATCTAATRATAATACTTAATGGATGAACAAGGTCAGGTCTAGTACATATCATAACTTACATAAGACTCCCAATAGTATTAACATAAGGAATATCAATCATGTCATATATCAATATCATTAAGGTGTCTTAAGAGAATCATTTAGAATACAAT